TCTCTCAGGTCATTAGAATATATCTACCAGAATATCTTCTATTAATTCTCTCTTATTATTACTATTTTTTAAGCATGTAAATTGTGTTGAGATCTGCAGTTAAAAAAAACTATAGACTACCAGGGGTTGACAAATGTTTTTGTAAAAGGCTAGACACTGAATAATTTAGGCTCCCTGAGCAACATATGGTCTCCCTTGAATATTCTTTTTTATTTTTTTAAACAACATTTTATTTTTTTAATATTTTTTTATTTTTATTTTTTATTTCTAGGAGAGAGAGAGACAGCGTGAGCAGGGGAGGGTCAGAGAGAGAGGGCGTCACAGACTGAAACAGGCTCCAGGCTCTGAGCTGGCTGTCAGCACAGAGCCCGACGCGGGGCTCGAACCCACGAACCGCGAGATCATGACCTGAGCGAAAGTCGGACGCTCAACCGACTAAGCCACCCGGGCGCCCCTAAACAACATTTTAAACACACATCCCTTCTGGTGGTTGGGGTTGTATAAAACTGGCCACGGAACAAGGCCATAGTTTGCTGACCGCTGGCTCGAGTGGGGAAAAAGTCAAAACAGGGCCTGGGGGTGCGGAGGAATAGCAGGAGTGAGCCTGTCAGTTTAATGTTTTGGTCCAAAAAATTTCCAAACTAGAAAAGCATCAGGCAGCAGGTGATTCTCCCAGCATCGTGAAGAGTAAGTACTAGCTGGTGGGTCTTAATTTACTGCGACCCAGCGCAAGACCAAATGGGTCACTCATTGTTAAATTTTAGTATGCATCCCAAGGAAGTTTGATTCAGAGATGAATTACCTGGCACTGCTCTTGCAGAGCTTTTTTGAATAGGTTGGGATCTTTTTTTTTTTTTTTTTAACCATCTAGGTCATTCTTCTATCTATGGTTCCCTGACCACACCGTGAGAAACGCTGATCAACAGAGAGCGATGATAATAATGTCTTTGTCTTACTAACATTTACAAAAGTAGCCACCACTTATAGCATTTGCTGTGTGCTAGGCATTATCTAAGTACTTGGATTCATTATTCCAGTTTTATGAGAAAAAAGAGGCTGCCACTTGCCCACTGTTTCATAGCTAACGTGCTAAGGATTGAAAGAAACACTGGTGGACCTGGCTCCTTCCTTCTCTTAACTCCCAGGTTTTATCTCTGGAAGGGGCTGGAGCCAGCATCATGTGAACATCCCTTTTGGGTCAGACTCTACTTGAGACCCTGGATGTGTTTTATCTACGAGGCTCTGATAAATGAACGTGTCCAGGATTATACATGGAACTAGTCAGTGGCAAAGTGTGGTTTCTTACTTAACATCTGTCTGACCCAAGATCATAAGAGAGTTCTTACTAGTGAAATTTGTACAATGAACCGACTCGTGGATCAGGTTTTCCTGGTTATTTTTCCAGTGACGGTGATGAATTTGCATGGATTGGTTCATAGCCACTCTCATGAATCCCTTTAAGACAAGTAATGGTGTTTATGAGAGGTTAGGCAGATTGTTGACAATGAGACGGCTTCCCATTTGACTCCGGTAGGAATCAAGCATATGACCTTGACCTCAGTGTGGTGATTGAAACAAGTAAGTCATAGTCTGGTAGAGTCTGGTAGCCTGGCCATTGATAGCACCAGGCCAAATGGTCAGATGTGTGAAGGTGGTCTACTTTCCTGCCTTTATGCAGGATCCCTTTCTCTGTTGGTAGCTCTCCCATTCCCATCCTGTGTTTTTAATTTTTTCCTTGTGTTACTTTCAGTTTGCTTTCAATTCTGGATAAAAGGGCAAGGCTTAGGTGTTAGAATGATAATGGCATATGGTAATAACCCTTCCACAGAACTCTTAAAGTCCTTACAAAAGCTGTAATGGAGACTGCTTCCCTCTCCCCCATCCTACAGAAAACAACTAAAGCATGACATGTGGCTTCTGAAAGGGTAGTGTCCCCAGGCTTAGAATACCTGAAAAAGATTTACAGTAGTCCAGAGAGTTGGATCAGTACCAGCCTGGAGTGGAATCTGTGATAATTAATGGTTTCATGTAGGCATCGCTGTGTGCTCAATAATTTTGTCAGTGAAATTGCTGGAATTATAAAATGAAGTAAATAAAATCCCAGATTATCCCTATAAATTGACAAGTTGTTGGAAAAAAATTACATATGGGTACCAGAAGATCAATCAAGCTGGAAAAAAATAAACTATACAAAATATAGAAGATGAGTTTTCCATATTTTAGAAGAAAAATCTAGAGTTCAGAGTGGATACACAAGCCAAAAATATACAATACCTTATAAAGCAAGCATATCAAGATATATAGATGTTCACCATGTAAAAACCATGACTTAATCCTCTGAACTCTGACCTATGTCAAATGGAGAGTCGTATCTACCTACAGTATTTTACAATTTATGGGGGAATATGGGGAATTTACAAGAGATCCTTAAAATGATGCAAAATATCGGCAAGTAGGAGCTCGTGGTGGTGGTGGTGGGGAGATTAAGAGAACAAATTTCTACATACATATATGGGCTTCTTAAGAGCCTTCTGAGAAAATGTTCTTCACCATGCTCATACTGGGAATAAAAAACACTTCACTCGTTGACTTCTTGGCCTGACAGCAGCAACCTGTAGAGCGTAGTCATAGGTTTAATGAATTGTTGCTTTGGCTGATGTATTAAGCTCACTTTTATCTCTGTCCTTATTTAAGAACCCGCTGTCTCTGTGACTGCTAAGGAGGATGAAGAGACAGAGCAGCCAATTGTTAGCTCGTCATCACCCACTTCAATACATTTAATTTGTGTGAAACTGTTCACGAAAGTCAGACAACACTTATTTTCTCTCACATATGAAGCGCTGTGCTAAGCATAATGACATATAATCAAAATAGTAGTACTCACCTCATAAGGTTGTTGGAGGATAAATGGATTCATATTTATAAGGTTCCTCAGGACAGTGCACATAGCAAGCATTGTTTTCTATGTAAGACAGATGATCTCATTAACATGAAGTCTTACAGACATGTAAACTTCTTGCAGAATAGCAGTTTCATTGTGTTTTGTGGAAATGAATCTAGTGTTTGCACTTTTTAGAGAAATGAAGTAGGAAATGAGCTTACGTGGCAGTTCCACTTGGGATTTAATGTGAAGTTATGTTGCACAGTAATCAAACCCACAGCCTTTCAACTCATAATTTGTAGCTAAGAGCTCCAGAATTTTAAACTAATGAGACTTTATGGCCTTTGGCTATTAGAAATTTACATGGTAAGTTTTAAATTTATACGGTACTTTTAAATTCTCCTGAAATTGGAATTACATCATTCATGGCCATGGCAAAAATATTGATGCCATTATTTTAGTTATGAGCATAAAACAATAACAAGATTTAAAATTAAAAAATATTTTGAGTTTATATGGTGATTTTTCAGAGTAGAACAGGGAAAAACTTATTCATTTTAATAGCAGTAATAAGTGGATGCTTTAAGGTTTGAAACTGGGAAATCAAAGGACTTGAAATAGTGTCTTTTCTCAGACTCTTACCCCTTTGTTATTTTAGGCTCAGGGAAAAGGGAGGGAGGAAGAGCAGAGTAAAATCAGCCGGGATTTGTGTGAGGTTGTTTGACTAATTTATACTTTGGTATGAAGAGAGCACAGAAGGAAAACACCTGAACAAGAATTGAAGGCTACTTTAATTCATCTCCGTGTCTTAAAGATCAAACTGGTCAGCCATTATTACTTAACGTATGACACTTCTAAGCTTTTGCTTCGCGGCTGTGCATCCAGATGTGCTGTGCCGTGGTGGGATGCAGTGAGTAGCGAGTGGTTATTGTTATTGCAGGGTAGCTGCAAGTCTCCCCGCTTTGGTTCTAGTAAATTTCCAGCTGTCAAGATTTGGTTCCTCTCTGCCTCAAGAAAACCAAATGTGTTTCTTTTTCAACCGTGTAAATGCCAACAAGAGACCTTTGAATTCTTCTATGGGAGGCTTATTTGTGACCCGTGAAGAAAGTCATGTAATCGGGGTAGTAGCAGTTAGAGAAGGCCCATGGCAGGCACAGGGGGGCCTGAGTGACTGACCCCAGGGCCTGTGTGAGTGGTGTCCACAGTCCTGTGACACCAGAGAGGGGCTGGGGCCTGGGGTGACCTGTTAGGAGAAGGAAGGTATTGGAAGGTAGGGTGCTGTGTTCATTCTCTCATGTACTCAACTGCAGGAATATTGCTTGAGGGCCAACTCCTTCCTGTTTTTTTGGGTCATTTCTTTTTTAAAAAAGGAATGATTATACTCTTAAGTTGACCATCTCTGGACCTCTCTGAAGAAACGGTCCTTTTGTGGGGGCAGCTGGGTGGCTCAGTCAGTTAAGCGTCCTACTTTGGCTCAGGTCAGGAAGTCATGGTTCAGGAGTTCGAGCCCCGTTTTGGGACACTGCACTGACAGTGCAGTAATTTCCTTTCCCCAATTTAGTTGATTTTTTGGTCTTGTTTATAGAACTTTTCCTTACATTTTGTGTGCTGTTTATATTAACTTACGTATTATAAATTCTTTCTGTCTTCCATTGGGGTGATAGATAAGGTTTAAGAGGTGAGGCTAAACAGAAGTATTTTTGTACTTTTGCCTTACGAATTACCAGGTTTTATTCTTTGAATTTTTTTTCACCGCAGCGAAATTACTATTAGACTTTATTTTTGTGTCAACCGCTTAAAGACAGACGATGGGAAAGAAAAAAGAGTGCGATGGTTTTTTTCAGTTGGATGAATTCTTTTTTTTTTTTTTTTTAATTTTTTAATGCTTTTTTTTTTTTATTTATTTCTAGGAGAGAGAAAGACAGCGTGAGCAGGGGAGGGTCAGAGAGAGAGGGAGACACAGACTCTGAAACAGGCTCCAGGCTCTGAGCTGGCAGTCAGCACAGAGCCCGACGCGGGGCTCGAACCCACGAACCGCGAGATCATGACCTAAGCGAAAGTCGGACGCTTAACCGACTAAGCCACCCAGGCGCCCCCAGTTGGATGAATTCTAATCACCATGTTTGGCCCTGTTCTTAGAGTCCTTAAAGCCTTAGCAGTACCTTTTAGTAATGGTGGGGTTAGTCCCAAAAACTCCACTACCGATACTCATCACGATCTTACGGGAGCGAGTTTTGTGTTTCGGAAATTCAAAATGACTCAGACTGTTCCATTATGTAATTATTTTGTGGAAAGAATTTGAGCTAAATTTTTCAGGTCATGGCTTATATGAAAACAAAACAATCTAAAAAAAAATCAGAACTGTAAACACAGTTGGTGTAACATTTATAAATGTTTCAGCAATAGGCACTGCCATGTGTAACTTAATATGTTTGGAAACTTCAAAAAAAAAAAATCATTCCAGCTGCTGATGTTTAAAAATGGTTCTGCATTAAAAAAAAAGACAAAAGGTCAAAATATAAACACATGTTCCACATAAAAGTGAAGCCAAGAAGATATACTGTATGTAGTTATTCCCGTATCCGTTTGGCTAGGGATTGACATTGTTTAATTTACATTAGCTGTTCCAAGACAAAATAGTTCATGGGAGCAATATTGAGGGGTTTTGTTTTGTTTTGTTTTTTGATAAAAAAGAAGGCAAAAGCTTCCATTTGTTCAAATACATTTCAGTTGGACCAGGGGTGCCTGGGTGGCTCAGTCATTGAAGCGTCCCACTTTGGCTCAGGTCATCATCTCACGGTCCGTGAGTTGGAGCCCCGCGTCAGACTCTCTTGCTTGTCAGCTCAGAGCCTGGAGCCTGCTTCACATTCTGTCTCTCTCTCTCTCTCTGTCCCTCCCCCACTCGCTCTCTGTCTCTTAAAAAAATGAATAAATGTCAAATATTTTTTTAACTGCATTTCAGTTGGACCCAAAAAAACAGTCTTTCCAAAAGATGTTGAATTATGCAGAATGAAAACATGACTCAGCTGTTTCATTTCCATTACTAAAGCTAATGTTTGTTAAATGATGCTCTTTTTATTTAACTATAATTGTTAACATTTTTGGCTGTTGAAGTGCCAGACAGTGAACAAGACGATTTATACATGTGTCCGTTAGGCCTCCTCAAAGTCATGGAGTCAGGATTTGAACTTGACATTGTGAGTTCAGAGCCCATCTCCTTAACCATGGTACACTTAATTTTCAAGAACTCTTATAGCAGGAACTTGGTTGAAAAGAACCATGTACCAAAAAATAAGCCATCTACTTTTAAGTCTAGAAATTTACAGTCTAGCCAAGTATTGATCTGTACCTCTTAAAATTGTTTTCTGTCTGTCCCATTAAAATGAGCACTTCATATGCTTTAAAAAAATTGATAAGATATTTACTTTAGAAATGAACACCTGATGTACTGAGCTATTTAACTCTCAAACATTTTTAAATTTATTTTCTTATTAATGTGCCTTATTTATTTTTGAGAGAGCGAGAGCGAGCGCGAGCAAGTGAGTGAGACCATGAACAGGGGAGGGAGAGGGAGACACAGAATCTGAAGCAGCTCCAGGCTCTGATGTGTCAGCACAGAGCCCGATGAGGGGCTCGAACCCCAGAACCACCAGATCATAAGCTGAGCCGAAGTCGGACACCCACCCAGCGGAGCCACCCAGGCACCTCTAATTCTCAAAACTTCTTGATTATATGCTCTCACTAGCAGAATGTATTTGAGTATGCACTCCCAACATATGTCTTTATAGATGTTGTACAGATACCAATATATTAACTTATTTTGTACATGATAAAGCACCCCACAGTGTAAACTGTGAAAGGAAGAAGTAAAAAAATAATTGTACACAAGTCCTAGTTTTTTTTCTTCAAGCCAAAGGATTGTTTGACTCCACAGAACTTTGGTAGAATAGAGAAGAAAATCCTATCTTATGAAAAGGAAATAAGATCCAGCCTTTTTTTTCCTCCTTCTTTTTTTTTTATAACCTGTAGTCCTGTGTGCATATTGAAAGTCCAACCTAGACTGTAGAGTACTTGCATTCTTGGTGCATATTTTGGAGATGTGACCAAGAGAATTATCCTGTTATAGGTGTTTAGTTAAGCATCACTAAATCATGGAAGTGCAAGTCAGAACTAGAAGAAAATCAGCATTTAAACAGTTTAAAGAAATGCAGTTGTAAAGAGTATCTCAGGAGGGAAATCTCTGGAGATGACAGTTGGTCAGTTGGGAGACTTTTTAATATCTCCTTTTTAATAACTGAAAAGATGTTTACGATATGCTTGTATTACCTATTAAATAAATTTTAACTGTAAAAAAGACATGAAGGAAAGGCAGTTCTTTTGTAGCTATCCAGTAAATAGTAAATAAAACACAGCCTTTAAAAGGAAAACACAAGGTGCTTAGGTGGCTGGCATTAAGCATCTGACTTTGGCTCAGGTCATGATCTCATGGTTTGTGAGTTCCAGCCCCACTTCGGGTAAAAAGGAAAAACATGAGCCCCGTTTCAGGTAAGGCCCGCTTCTCCCTCCTCTTTCTCTTTTCCTTTCTCTCCCTCTCCCCCCTCCATCGTGGGATTCTCTCTCTCTGCCTCTCACTCACTTGAACCTCCCCCCAATAAATTAAAAAGAATAACACCACCACAACCTTTAGAGACACACAATACAAAAAAATCCCGCAAAACTGACGTAGCCAAATATTCCTATGTGAGTTATTTTCTTGGTTCTTAGTGCTCAGTCCTCTTTCCTTAACTTTCTGCCAAATCCCACTCTTTCTCCAGAGGTTAAGTTACATTTCACCCCACAGTCTTTGCAAGTGCAAGATTCTCAGGTTGACATTAATGCCGTCAGAATGGCAGGATGGATATGCCCTACATCACAGTAAGCTTTGCAGCTGTGAGGTGCCCTTGCCACAGGCGGGCAGGCAACATGTGGGAATATGCTCTCTCCCTCCAGAGCTTTCCTGCCCATGGCAGGTGCTCCAGCAGGTCTTAATTTAACCTCAGCTGAATAGTGACTGTGCATAAAAGTGCATTTCTAAGGTGACTGAAACCTTCTTAAGGCACGTAAACATGTAAAATAGTCTTATTTGGGGAGTCTGGGTGGCTCAGTCAGTTAAGCATCCCAACTTCGGCTCAGGTCACGATCTTGCGGTCTGTGGGTTCGGGCCCTGCTTTGGGCTCTGTGCTGACAGCTCAGGGCCTGGAGCCTGCTTCACATTCTGTGTCTCCCTGTCTCTCTTTGTCTCTCTGTCAAAAGTAAATGTTAAAATTTTTTAAAAATAATCTCATTTTTAAAAATTTACTCATTTTGAGAGAGAGAGATAGAAAATGAGTGGGGGAAGGGCAAACAGAGGGGGAGAGAGGATCCCGACCCAGGCCAGTGTCTATACCATCAGCACAGAGCCAGATGTCAGGCTCAAACTCACTAACTGTAAGATCCTGACCTGAGCCGAAACCAAGAATTGGACGCTTAATAGACTGAACCACTCAGGCGCCCCAAATAATCCTTTACATTAATGCATTTTAAAGTGTTTTCATTTCAGAGCCTCCCTTCAGCTTCATAGATTCCTACTTCATTTAAAGAGGAGGCTGTATTCTGTTTCGGCCTGATACTCGCTCACTGCAGAATGCCGAGAGCACAGGCATACCGGCTCTTTCTTGCCAGTAAGGGTCTGTGATCGGTTTCTAATCGAGGACACATTCCGACCCACCAAACTTCCCTGCCACTGCTTCTGCCTGCGAGAGCCGCGTGCTAAGTCCGAAACTCGTCTTGGCCCTGAGCCTGCTTTCTCCTCTTTGCTCTCCCCCTTCCTCTCCGTTCCTGCGGCCTGCGGTGCCGGAATCTTGCCCCCAGGCTCCCTTGCCCTCCAGCGCCGGCACAGACCCCTCCTGCCTTTGGGGTTCAGATTGACGTGTGTGAATCTCGCCTGCTTACTGGCCACCTCCACTTACAAGTCCTCCAGACAATTTTGTCTTAAACTGAAAATGTTATTTTCCGCTGCAGTTATTTCCTGCGCTACCATGTCATTTTTTCTCCTCCACTAACGTAATAAACATGGTCAGGAGAGCCCCTTTTACTCTGCCTCACATTTCTTTCTTCTTTTTTTTTAATATTTACTTTTGAGAGAGAGAGCGAGAGCGAGTGGGGGAGGGGCAGAGAGCGAGAGGGAGACCCTGAATCTGAAGCAGGCGCCAGGCTCTGGGCTGTCGGCGCCGGGGCTCGAACCCGCGAACTGCCATGTCACCAACAGAGCCTGAACCATCAGGCACTTAACCAACTGAGCTACCCAGGCGCCTCTCACATTTCTTCAATCCAGCAGTGTATGGAAAACATTGCTTTTAGTTGCTGAAAATTTAAAGTAATGACATAAAAATCAAACAAATAGAAATAAAAAAAAAACAATATGACTTACTTTGGCATGGAGTTTGGATTTGAACCTGGCTCTCCTGTTTATAACTTTTGGTACCTTGAGCAAGTTCCTTTGCCCTCTGTGACTCCGTTTCCTCATCTTTGAAATTGGAATAATGATAGTACTCACCAGAGAGGATTGTTATAACAATTGAGTGAGTTGAGTGTTTGGCAGATTTACTAAACATCACACGCAGGTTTGTTAAGAGGGAGGGAGAGTGACGGAGAGAAGAGGCGGAGTTTAAAAGTCAGTGAGAACAGGACAGTTTTAAAAATGAAGTTTGACTGGAAGTGTGAGAAACTAGAGATTGCTTTCAAGGCAGTATAGTAATAGTACTTTTTAAAAAAGTTATTAGTGAAAAACATAAAAGTAAAGTCTTTAGATTGGTTAGCAAAGTGTTTCAGACTTTAAAAAGCCCATGCTCCTTTAAATCTCAAGCCCTTTAATTCCATTTGAAATGCAAGGTAAATAGTCTGACTTATAAAAAGAAAAAAAGTTAAAAAAGCAATGGCATAAAGCTTTGCTTTATTTTCACACCATCCTCTCCCTTGAGAATCAGTGTTTAACTGGTGGAATAAATAAATTTGTGTGTGTAAACTTCTCCCAAGTTTATGGTTTCATTTAGGTTTTCACAAGTCATTTTAAAACATCTTAGGAAAATGTAGGTAGGAGTATTGAAAATAGTCACCTGCTTTAAATGAGGAAGATGCCTATAGTAACAATATGAATATGTGCCTGAAATATAAATTAATTGGGGAAAATAGTTATATTAAATTGACAGGTTGTTGCCATTTCCTCTTGTCATAATATTTATGGAAGTAAGCTCATGGT